CCCAAAGCACGAACCCATCACACGCACCCACACTCCTCCACGATCATGTTGGGCACGTCCTTCTTCACGATGTTCTGGTCCTCGTCAAAGTACAGCATGGACATGGCGCTGAGGCGCGTGGGGATGCAGCACGAGCCGGCGCCCGGCGCCGTCGTGTCTCGGAGCCGGTACTGACTCAGCACGGCGCTGTGGAAGGACGCGGCCGTGCCGAGCGCGCCGCTCATGAACGCGGGGCACTTCCCCTCGCAGTAGTTGGCGAAGTACCCCGCGGGCGCGATGATCCAGTCGGCCCAGCCGATGGCCCCGAAGTCCACGTAGAAGTGCCTGCGGCAGCAGAGCGGCGCCGCCACGCCGTCGCACTCCAGTCCCTCGCCGTCGCTTCCTTCCCCTGGCGCGCGTCGCTCCGCTGTCGCGTGCGCGCAGCAGCAGGAATGCGCGGTGCGCGCTCGGATCGACGCGCGCCGCCGACGCCGCCGCCCCCGCAGAGACGCGGCGCGGCCCCAGCGCCACTCCCGCGGGCCCGCAGTCGGGCACGACACCCGCAGCGAGACGCGGCCCCCGGCCCGCTCGAGCGCGGCCCGCACGGCCGCGGCCTCCAGCGGCACGGCGCGCCAGCTCGCCCGCCGCAGCATCAGCCTCTTGGAGAAGGAGGGGGAGGAGGGCGCCGCACCGGACACTTGGATTCTCACCGTGACGAGGGCGGCGCGTTGCCGGCTTCGTGCTTTTAGCCGCTGCCGCTGCTGCTTGTGCTGCTGCTTGTGCTGCCGCTCGTGCTGCTGCTGCTGCTGGTGGTGCCACTTGTGCCGAGGGTTGCTCCTAGCTGTGCCCCCACCATCCGCACCACCACCACCAGACCTGCTGTCCACACCTCCCGTCACATCGCTACTTTTGGTCTTATCTTCTCCCGCTGCTACTGCTGCTGATGCCGATGACGAATCCAAGTCGCCTCCTCCCTCCTCCTCGTCCACCAGCCTCAACATTGGCTCCACCTCTGGGCCCACCCTTGGCTCTGCCGCCGCCCCTGACCCCGCCGCCAGCAGCACCTCCTGCCGTACCGCGTGCGCCCTCCATCCTCAGGTAGAGCCACAGCGACGCCTGGTTCACGTGGAGGCGACGGCCGCCCTCGCCCAGCACGTGGAAGCGGAGTTCCCCGCTCCATCCGCGGTCTGCACTCCTCGCGTTCAGAGACAACCACGAAACATGGGGGGGGTGGGGGGGGTCGCGTCCTGCGTTTACGGATACCGTGCAGGAGAAATGTCGCTTTGTCGGCGCCACAATGCAGCGACAGGAAAAAATTAACCCGTAAAAACAAAGTTTTTCACTATAAATCCTTTATATGCGTGGCGGCTTGAGTCCTCTCGTCCTCTGGCTTGCGATGGCTGCCACCTATGGGTCAGATGATTGTCTGCCACCATTAAATATTTAAAATATTTTCCCTAAACATTTTGGAAAAAAAAATCACGAAAATTTATTGTCACGCACAACGAGTCTGTGTGCAAAATGTCAGCTCGATTAGATCACGGGAAGTGGGTTAAAAAACGACCGAAAGATTTGCATGGTCGTAAGCAAGCACGCAAGCACGCAAGCAAGCAAGCAAGTGAACTTAATATAAAGGATTTAAAAACGCCACGGATTCACAACGCGAGCCATGGTCGCATCGCGTTTTGACCGGAGGCACGGACACGTGATGTCTCTATAGCTCTGTGTTTTCTGGCCTTTAGTAAGATGAGAGGCGTGGGGGCGGAACAAATGGTCTTGATTGGGGGAGAGACGGGGCGGGGGGTCTACCAAATAGGTTGAGAGCCACTGGGACACGTGGATAGCGCCATGCGATACGAAACCTGAGTTCGATTCCAGGCAATTGATTTCATTTATTTAATTCGTACGGCTGCTGATGCAGAGCAACGACGACAATGTCAGATTCAGGCGGTCGAGCCGGACAACCGCGTCAGCGGATTGTGTCGTCATCATCGCCGTGATGACGTCTCCTTCGTATGTGTGTGGATCGGGGCATCGCGCCGTGACACGTTGCACGGTCTGTTGTGGATGACCACAGTCGCACGCTGCTGGAGAATCGAATTTTTTTGTTCTAAGTTTCCATTCGTGCATCAGGTGTCCGCATCCTACTGCCATGGCTTGTGCGGTTTCGGTTTGCGGTGTAACGCGAGCTTAGAGACAATCGCGAACACGTGGCACGAGTGGCGGGTGACACGTGAAGCATGGTGAACAAACTGTCGCCATGATCCGCATGGCAACCTCCCAGCAGGAGACTGGCACAACGTTGCACGTGCTCATAGATCGAGATGCCTCCAAAAGCGCCGTTCCTCGATGTGCGTATGTATGTCGAACCTCTTTCGCACCGTACGTAGCCAACCGCTCCGAGGTTACGAATTTAGCGGTTCGTTGGGGTTCTCTACGGTATTTTTTTTTGTCGTCTGAGTTACCGATGCCACTCTTATAGATGATGAGACATTTGGTCCCGGATTCGTATAGAGTTCTCGTCTGGGTTTAAACAAAATCAACTTGACATTTCTAAAAAATTGTCTTCCGTCAAAATTTAAATAATGACAACAACAAAAAGTACGTGCGCTCAACATGTTCGTAAATACCACTGCTATAGAAGGGGGGGACATACAAAGGGCGACGTTTCTGGAAATGGGCCTATTTCAGAGCACATTCTCCTGGCTCACTCCCGAATATTGTCACCTTCCTCAATCTGTCACCTGATGCACCAGCTCGCTCCCTCACTTCGCCCACTCACTCACTCACCTGGCTCACTCACTCACTTACTCACCTGCCTCACTCACTCACCTGTTTCACTCACCCACCAGGCTCGCTCACTCACTTCGCCCACTCACTCACTCACCTGGCTCCGCGAAGCTCACGATCTCTGACATCTCCCCGCGCTGCCTCCTCTCTCCACGGCGAGACGAGTGTCCATACTTGGCACGTCCACCACCACCATCATCATAATCCTCATCCTCATCATAATCATCATCATCATAATAATCGTCATCATCATCATCATCAGCAGCAGCAGCAGGACCCCCCTTGTCACTACTGCCGCTGGTGGAAGCGTCGTCGTCGCGCGCGTACCCCGCCCTCCTCCGTGCGTGTCCGGCCCAGGTTTGGTGGACCCCGTGAGCCGGGGCCCCCGTTAGGGGTCGCGACCCCCCGTGGTGGTGCAGGCGCCGGAGCGCGCTGAGCACAGCGCGGCGCGGCACGGGCGCGCGCGTGCTCACGTTGGGAGGCGCGCGCAGTTGGAGTCGGGCAAGGATGTGCTGCTTCACGGCCTCGGTGAGGATCGAGGCAAGCTCTCCTCGCTGCCTCGTGCTTTGCTGCTGCTGATGATGGTCGTAGTGCTGACGATCCTGATGTTCATGTCGACGCTGTTGCTGCTGCTGCTGCTGCTCCTGGTGAGTCGTCGCCTCGTGATGGTGACGACGTTGATGGAGCTCGTGTTGGAGCGGAAGGGAACAGGTCCAGCAAGCGCCCGCGTCGGGAATTTGGACTCGCGTGGACGATGAGAGGGAGAGGTTGTCCATCGGCTGAGAGCTCCGAGCGCAGCCCAGCATCGCAGATAATGCCACCGTCAGCGCTATCATCACTCCCATGACGACAATGATAATGATGGTGGTGGTGGTGGTGATGATGATGGTCATCAACCAGCCATGAAAGCTCGTCGCACTAGCCGGGCATTGGTGAGTCAACTTTCTTCTGTGCTCCTTAAGCTACGTGAAGTCGCAGTGGTGGTAACAATGACGTCCCGTGTCATCTCACGAAACGCGGTTTGTGGCTTTTAAGGATAACTCCCCTTCGATTGCTCTACACTGCGTGTCGCAATATCTTCCAATGAAAGCCATCAGAGTCCACGTTAACAATGCATCTACGTAACGAATTATAATAGAAAGACGCCCCAAATTGTACGTATGTTCGACTTCTTTCGCACCGTATGTAGCCAATCGTGCTAATAGAATGCGCGCGCGCGTGTGTGTGAGCAAAGTGCGCGCGCGCGTGTGTGTGTGCGTCTGTGTGTGCGTCTGTGTGTGAGGGCAAAGCGGAGAGTGAATTTGGCGAGAGTGACTTTTAGAAGGAGGCTGGAGAGAGCCGGAGGCGATTTGGTGCCGCGGAGTCTGACGCTTTGGTGAGGAGTGCGGAGGTGGGGGCTGGAGGATGTGTGTGTGTGGGGTGTGTGGTGTGTGTGTGTGTGCGCGCGTGGGTGTGTGTGCGTGTTGGGTGGATAGTTGATTGGTGGTGGTGGTGGCTGTCAGGGTCTGTATAGGGGCGGGTCTGAGTTCGCGTCCTGGACCCAAGGGACTCATTGAACGGGAGGTGGGGAGGGGGAAGAGGAGGGGGGTGATAGTGAGGAAAGCGGTAGGGAGGAGGAGGCGGTAGGAGGGATGGGAAAAGCCACGAGGGAGCCACACACGAGGAGCGGCGACTGTAATAATAATTGCGCCAGGTTCAACTGGCAACTTACCGCGTGCGCGTCGCGCGGCCCTGGGAGTCGTGAGCCCCATCTGTTAGGCGTAATGAGTCACGATGCGCAGAGCGTACAGCGCGAAGTGTCCACCTCGGGCGGTTAGCTACAGCGCACCAGGATCAAGGTGATGGGCTTGATGGGGCCGATGATGTACGCACACGTACGCTGGACTTCTTTCGCACCGTACGTAGCCAACCGTGCTGAATTGGAGGTGCGCGCAAGAGCCGGTTTGTGAACCTGTGTGGAGAGTGGTGTATGGTAATGACTTACAGATATTTCTCAATCCACTGCTGGATGTAGGCGTCAACCCGCCGTAGCATGCCGGTCGTGGGCGGATGTTTTTTTACCATACTTCACGACGCCGGTTGAGTGCGGATTGGTGAAGAGAGGGGGGAGGGGGGTTGCATATTGCTCAAGACTGCCACTGATGATAACCGTGGCCCAGAATCGAACTCGGTTGTAGCTTGGTTCATAGTGCAGCGCGCTTCACCGCTTATTATAGAACATAACAACCATGTGATGTTGTGCTCAAGAAAGCAATAAAATGTTTATTTCTTTATTTAACATAGCGAATTCAACATGGGCACACGCACAGCTGCGGGTTACGTGTACAGTACACCGCGTGTCCTATAATTTAATTGAAGATAAATTACATTTTGTATGTGCCGATAACAAAAATTACAAGTAGTTATTTTTTTGGTTTCGGCTCCCCACGCTTGTTAATGTTTAATAGAGTTCATGGGAGGTTTGAAGGTCCTGGTTAAATCTGCCATGTCTCTTCGTACATACGATATACATTACGTAACAATCATGATCACCATTAGTCTTGACAACCACAGATGAGCTTGATTGTTATTCAAATGCGATCCTCGTATTTGGCCCAAATTAACCGTAACCCAATCGAGAGAGTCCAGGTTCTTGAGAAGACATCTCGACTTACGCGGGTCTCTGCCTTTGATCTTTCACGAAGCGTATGGGCAGAAACCCGACACCGCTACAAAATATGGCAGCAGCAGCAGATGCGGATACCTGATGATGCAAAACGTGGAAAAAGAAAAAAAAATATCCCATCAGAGCGCGACTTGTGGTCGCGCAGAACAGACCATGGAACATGTAATGACTCAATGCCCGATTCGTAAATACGAAGGAGTCATCGTCACAGCGATACAACGCTCCGCTTGCAAACTGCCAAGACATTTATACGATTTCTTGCAAACGAAAAGCGAGACATCAACAATGTTCGTCACCGCTGACTCAAGGCCCGATCCCCTTTCTGGGCACTGCGCTGCAGTCACCATGATCTTAAAGGTGCATTGAAAAATTATAATACTCCGATTGATGCTCCTGCTGTTGTGGAGTGACTCATGCAGCCAGCTATGGCTGCAGGGTTTTGGTAATACATGCTGTTTATGCCATTTATTGTGAAAATTCCGTCACAGTTCCTATGATCACTGTTTCATTGATTTCATGGCTTTATTTTGGTGATTTCGAAACGTATATTGGTTTAGCCATGTTTGTTTGTTGTAGTACAGAGTTAGACTGATGGCCTTAATCTAAGTTGTCTTGTGGTTGTTGTTGGTTGTTTGCCTTGCATCCCACTGGGATTTTTGCACACAGCGTTGGTGTACGGTGATTTTTTCTGCAATATTTTGCTGTCTTTTCTTGTATTTCTGTTTGAACTTAGTCACATATTCACTTTAAGATGTTTTTTGTTCATGTTTTTGTTTTTTTGTTTGTTGCGGTTGCACCCGATTCAAGAGCCGAATGGCTCACAGGGCTATACCTAATACATGAACTTGAACTATCCGAGAATCTCATCGGAGATCCAGAAGAACGCTGGCGAACAAACAAAGCGGTCGTCCAGAATAAACACCTCCCTGGGGACTCAACCATCGCACCTCCTCACTCCGACATCCTCCTCGAAGACACTGTTGGTGGCACCATCAGCAGCATCATCCAGAACACGAGCAGGCCGATCGTCACACATCTGCGTCATGAATGAGAAACTAAAGGCACAAGACACAGTTGTGCGATTGTAGGCCACGCAACCCAAACCAGGGGCCATGTCGTAACCCCACTGTAGCCTGTGCTCCTTCAATGCAGGAGGAATCGCACAACGACGCGAACTCTCTCCTGAAGCGCTCTCGTGGCGAGCACACCTCGACATTGGCATTTAGATCCTGAACAATTTGTCGTCACACGCAAGTTGTAAAAGGGCCACTCCGCTGCTCCTGACGCAAGCTATCTGGTTCAACCACCTCAACGTCCAATTATTACAACCACGGCCGTTGCTCCACGTCGACGCGAGCCAGCGCGACCAACGGATGGTCCGGATAACGACCGCAATAAACGTCGCTATTCATTGCCATTATTTAGTGACGGTCGCCGCTCTCTCCGCCTCGCCGAGGGAGCTCACTGGTCATCATTGCCGGATCTGTCTCCCTGGGGCGGTGCGGTGGGCGAGCGGGTAGGGGGGGGGTGGTGAGATGAGAGGTGCTCTGAGCCCAGGGGAGATGTCACTGGCAATTATCTCAATTTACAGTGAAGTGATTCCCCAGCGCTCGTCATTGCGAGCCTGCTGGTTACATAAGGTCACTCTTGATTTGTCATCTGATTGTGATAAACTATCGGCGCCACGGCCATTAACACCACCACCACCACCAGAACGACATCATTACGCGAATAAAACGGCAACGTTCATGGACAGCTCCTCGTGAATCCACGACGCGCGAGAGGTCAACCGCCGGAGCGAGACGCGACGCGAGCTCGTGGCGTTGACGGGGTTCGCTGAATAAACACCTCCCTCGGGACTCAACCATCGCACTGATGGTGGCACCATCAACAGCATCATCCAGAACATGAGCAGGCGTGGCGTTGACGGGGCTCGCGACGCGAGCTCGTGGCGTTGACGGAGGATCGTGCGGTCCGCCGCATCGCGAGACAACGGGCGGACGTCGGGGGCTCGCTTCCAGCAGTGGACGGGTCGTTGGCCGACGACGAAGGCGGGCCACGTGGGGGGGTGGGTGGGGGGGCTCCTCACAGGGACACGGCGCCGTCGCGGCTCAGCTCGGCGACGGCGGCGTCGCTGTAGCCCAGCAGCCGCGTGAGCACCTCCCCCGTGTGTTCCCCCAGCAGCGGGGGCGGCACCGCGGGGTACCCCTCCTCGTGGTCCCCGTACCGCACGGGGGGCCCTGTGGCGGGGAGGGGGGAGCAGTGAGCGGGGGCACTTATCGAAAGCCCACATCCCTTACTTGTCCCACACAAAGATAAAGATCCCCCGTATAGCCTCAACAGACTGTTGGGGCAAGTGCTGTTAGCGAGCACCTGTGAAGGCCGGCACGGCACACGAGGGGGTGGGTAGCCAGCACCACGCCCGGCCGCCTTTGTTTCCCTAGCGGCGATGTTTAAACATCGCACTAGGTACTCGTTTTAGGCTGAGTCGACCTAGGGGAGGCCCGGGACCGGTTCAGATAATCGTCACTGGTGTTGGCTGTGAGCAGGAATCGAACTCGGGTCGCCGGGTTCATAGCGCAGCGCGCTAACCGCTACACTACCGCTCCCCACACACACGCGCACACACACACTCTCCTGTTCAGTGAGAAATCGCCGCAACCTCCGTTTGGCAAGGTTGGCTACGTACGGTGCGAAAGAAGTTCAACATAGGTGCATGCACATCTCAACGAGACAGCTGCTGCAGAATGCTGTGCCCAGGTATTCGCGCGAGGTAACTACATTCATGAACTCGCAGCTTGTATCAGCTAGGCTATCACGAGCATGCAATGTGTATACATTGTAAGCTTTGTTAGACACCTCTGTCTTGCATGTTCTACTGCGCGGGTTAAATATCTGTGAAGAGTCTCGAATATCGCACAGTGATATTCGAGACTGGAAATGTGAGTTGGACCATTGAGTAGTTGAGTGGGTGGGTGAGTGGGTGAGTAGGTGAGTGGGTAGGTGGGTGGTTGAATTCCAGACCGATGTACTGCTGAGTAGGTGAGTGGGTGGGTAGGTGGGTGAGTAGATGAGTGGGTGGGTGAATAGGTGAGTAGGTGTGTGGGTGAGTAGGTGAGTAGGTGAGTGTGTGGGTGAGTATGTGAGTGGGTGGGTGAGTAGGTGAGTAGGTGGGTGAGTAGGTGAGTATGTGGGTGAGTATGTGAGTGGGTGGGTGAGTAGGTGGGTGAGTAGGTGAGTATGTGGGTGAGTAGGTGAGTGGGCGGGTAAGTAGGTAAGTGGGTGGGTGAGTAGGTGAGTGGGTGGGTGAGTGAGTGGGTGGGTGAGTAGGTGAGTGGGTGGGTGAGTAGGTGAGTAGGTGAGTGGGTGGGTGAGTAGGTGAGTGGGTGGGTGAGTAGGTGAGTGGGTGGGTTAGTAGGTGAGTGGGTGAGTGAGTAGGTGAGTAGGTGGGTGAGTAGGTGAGTAGGTGAGTGGGTGGGTGAGTGAGTGGGTGGGTGAGTAGGTGAGTGGGTGGGTGAGTAGGTGAGTGGGTGGTTGAGTAGGTGAGTAGGTGGGTGAGTGGGTGAGTAGGTGAGTGGGTGGGTGAGTAAGTGAGTAGGTGAGTGGGTGGGTGAGTAGGTGAGTGGGTGGGTGAGTAGGTGAGTGGGTGGGTGAGTGGGTGAGTAGGTGAGTGGGTGGGTGAGTAGTTGAGTGAGGCAAGTTCCAGGCCAATATACCGCCGGCCGCCCAGCTACGAGGTCCACATCTCGTGGTCCGAGTGTGCAGAACGATGGAGAGTGGAGTGAACCGGCACTCTGGGATTTACGACTGTCACGAATCAGGGACATTCCATTCAAGAGCAGATTTTTGTTTTATGTTGTGGTTAACGCGCGTGCTTTGGTGATGCATCCTCGTCAAACTGGGTAGCTCTCTGGAGACTCTGGCGGCTTTGCGCCTTGGTCCTCTGCCCGAATCACCCACCCAGAAACCCTAGCCCTGGAGGTAAAGGAACAGCAACAGCAGAGAGGCTGCACAGCAAATGTGTGGATTCAATTCCTGGGCAGAGTAAACGTTTTCTCATCATTATCATCATCATAACCACCACAGTCATAATCATTACCATCATCCTGATTATCATGGCCATGAATAAGTAATATCATCAACTCCATTGTAATCATCTATCACTGTCATTTTTATTGTCATCATCAGCAACACCACCATCTCCACTGTCATCGTCATGATCATCCTCATCATCACCATTTTACCATCAGCAGCAGCATTGCTTTTATATCCATCACCCGAGCCATACGAGAACGGCGTTGAGCCGCTCCACACATCGTGAGCGCACTCCGGCTCATCCGTCATCATCATCATCCATCGTCCATCATCATCCATCATCATCCATCATCATCCATCATCATCATTCATCATCATCATCCATCATCATCATAATTATCATCCATCATCATCATCCGTCATTATCCATCATCTATCATCAACCATCAATTATCATCATCCATAATCATCATCCATCACCCATCATCATTCATCATTAACCGATCATGCCCATCGCCCATCATCATAGTCATCATTAGGAGAAGTCACCATCATAATTATCAATACCTTTGCTATCATCATCATCATCATCATCCTGATTATCTTTGCCATCAATCATCCTCATCTCCGTCATTAAAACCGTCACCATTATCCTCATCATCATTGCCATTCATCATTATAATCATCTTCATTACCATTGTAAGCAACATCATCACCAATCTTATCTTCACTCTCATCATCATCGCCACTATCATAATTATGTCAATAAGTCAAAGTCATTGCATGCGCAAATGAACATTGAGGCAGTGCTCATTGCATGTTTACAGCCCTCAGCCGGCAGTGTAAATGTCACATTCCCGTTGTGGTGGTGAATCTATCCTTAGGACAACCACCGTCGACTTCCCTGCCACGTGGTGCTCATTTCATCGACCCGCGGATGAGCCGATTCAACTCCCCCAACCAGGATGAGAATTCGCAACCTTCCAATCGCGAGCAACTCGCCATACGGCTGATCCACGTGGCCATCGTCTCTGTCAATCGTCACACCATCAACACCCTCCTCGCCCCACCCCCACCGCGCACAAGCTATGAGAGTTAACCTAAACGAAAACTATTTTTTGTTATTTGACCAGGTAAGGCCCACTGACCTATACAGCTCTTTTCGAGAAGCCACCTGGCCACAAATGATAGCCCAACGAAGTGGCTTATCACGTGCACATTTACAGCAGCCAAATACTCTAAAAGCATGTCGTTTCCAAATGTGCAGGGAAAACCTGGAGGACCCGGAGAAAAATCCACGTGACCAAGTGGAGAGCACGCAAACTCCAAATACACAGCAGGCGTCAGGGCCGGGATTGAACCCACGACCTCCTGTACACCAGGCGAGAGAGTTAACATCTCGCCACCATCTCGCACCACTTGCGGTGGGGCAGGTCATCCCCCTCTCCACCCAACTCCCACCTCCCCTTGCCGGGCGGTGAAACCGTGAGCGGCCTCCGTCCTCCGTGCTCGGAGGTGCCCGGCTCTCTTCCGTGGCGGGGGGGGGGGGAGGCAGCGGCGTTCCCGCGGGAGCGCGGAGGGGCGTGATGACGCTCGCGGCCGCGTCGCCACGGTGAGGCCGGCAGGGGCCTTCCCCTGGCGACCGCCGTGCGTTTGTCTCTTGCCAGCAACAGCTGCTGCTGCTGCAGCGGCAGCGGCAGCTGCAGCAGCTGGGGCAACAGTGGCAGCCGCTGAGCTTTAATGGGCGTCGCAGGCAAGCGACATCTGGACACCTCCACCGGCCGCCCAGGTGTGGTGCGGTCAAAAAAATATAAACACTAATTAGACACCGAGTTATCAATCCACTGCTGGATGAGGGCCTCCCCCACGCGGGGTTGTTGCCACGCCGATATCGGTCGCGAGCTGGCGAACGAAAAGCACAGCGGTGCGTTCGCACGATTCATCGCAGGGCGCGGTTGGCGTAGGCCGCCCCCGGTGGGCGAGGCGGTGAGCGGGCATGCCGAGACGGTCCGCTGCTGGCGGAACACCCAGTCTTCCTCGTAAGCCGCTCACCCGCAGCTCGCCGCGTGCGACGCGAGTGTAGCGAGGCCACCCCCCCCCCCACCCCCCGGGGGGCACGCTCGCCGGAACCCTCAACCCTCGGAACCCGCTCCTCCGCCTGGGAGTGCGCGAGGCGAGGTGTGAAGTGGGGCGGGTGGAGGAGTCTTGCGCGTGCCAAACACCGCCGCCGCCGCGGTGTGGTGTGCGCGTGGCTTGGTTCCTCCGGTGCAATTCTCCGCGTGAGCCCTTGTTTTGGCAGGAGTCACGACGTTGGTGGCGTACAGCGAGGCTACAATGTCGGGCCGCGGCTAATATCAGCGGTGCGCGATACTTCAACTGGTCCCGGGCCTCGCATAGGTAGACTCAGCCTTAAGCTAGTGCCTGGTACGGTGACTAGACTGCGGCACTGGGGACACAAAGGCGGTCGGATGTGAGTGGTGCTGGCAACACCACCACTCACGTGCCAGTCGGGTCTTCAATATTACGGATGATATTGGTCGCGAAAGCCAACGTGTTAAACAGGTCTTAAATATCTGCTCACGAGGTGCACTTTCCTCAACAGTCGACAAGGCTAAATGGGGATCTTTACCTCAGTGTGTTTGTGTGTCTCATACCTGGCACCGCTATGTGGCCGGCAGTCGGATGATCCATGTGCTGAATTAACCCATTGTGTAAAACCTAGACAGAGAAATCAACAAAGCAAATACTTAGACGAGGAGGACAATGGTTGTTTTTCTGCTCAGACCTATGACCAAATTGCTCTGAACGTGCGCAAACTTGCCAGACCTAGCGAGGATTTGTTGAGCCTGATTCGTGGTTGCATGGCAGGCTACCTGGGAAAGCCAAGGTGTTGCAGACCTGGAAAGCCGAGTGGGCAGGAGATGGCGGTACAGAAATGATTCCTTGAATCCATCTGTGCGGATAACTTGAGTGTTTCTCCCTCGTGGTGGGGTTCTTTCCGGCTCCTCCCGTGTTTACATCATGGGACCTCCTTTGCCAGTACCAAAATATACTAATGGGGTTTTTCCCCTTTTTTTCTGGCAACAAAACTGACACCTTTTGCAAGGAATCATGTTTACATTAACCACAATACTTGCAGTCAAATGCAAACAAAAAACAATACCCTGATAATTTATGCATTATCCTTGACACTGATTGCTCCACACCAGAGACAGCTTTCTTTAGAGCTTAGTCTCATATGGTGTCAGTTTTGTTGCCAGAAAAAAAAGAGGAAAAACCCTATTAGTATGTCCTCCCGTGTTCTCCCACGTGAAGCCAAACAGCCGCTCGTGGCAACAGCCAAACGTATCCCAAGGCAAGGACCCTCTTGAATAAAATAATGTTGAGAATCAGTGAGACTCTCTTGGGTAAATATAGGGCATTATATTAATTATTATCATCATTATCATTTTACATACAATAAATACGAGTTTATGATGCCGTGATTAACGAGTTAGAGGAACTGTGTGGCCGCATTATCCGGGGTGAACAGAATCAGCAGCCCTCCTCGGAAATCTTCCCTCTGGAACTACAAATGTCTCAGTCGCTCACAAATGACGAGATTGGACTCAGGGGGCTCCCGCCTGGTGACATACAGCAGAGTGGTGAGGCTCCATTGAGATTCTTAGGTTTTGTCGGTAAAGTCACGTAGGTAAAAAATTAAAATTAATACAAGTTAAATGAAAATAAAATAAAATAAAAATCACGACGTTTCGGAGGCAACACAAGCTTCCGTCTTCAGGTGGAACCGTCACAGCACGATAGCTGCATCAAGTAACAGCTATCAAGTAACAGCTATCGTGCTGTGACAGTTCCACCTGAAGACGGAAGCTTGTGTTGCCTCCGAAACGTCGTGATTTTTATTTTATTTTTATTTAACTTGTATTAATTTTAATTAAAATGTTTTACCTATGTGACTTTATCGAAAAAACCTAAGAATATGAATCCTTGCAGTCACGAAAGCTTCAAATCTAGAATTAGGCTCCATTGAGCTGGAGAGGTGCAACGATTCACCTCCGCAGATGCCTGGAGAAGATCAAGGCCAACCTACCGTGCCTTCTGCGCTGCTGCGGCCGTCTGGAATGCCCCCCTCCCGCCACCCCCACCCCTTACGATATGAGGAAGCCAATGGAGCTATGCACTTTATGCACTTTTAAATCCAGATTGAAAACTTATTTCTTTAGAACTGCTTTTTGCGTTTATTTTTGTTGTCCTTCCCCCAATTAGCACGGTCGGCGGCTCCGTACGGTGCGACAAAAGAAGTTCGACATACCGTACAAACATACAACATACATACAACATACATGCAACATACATGCAACATACAACATACATGCAACATACATGCAACATACATGCAACATACACACAACATAATACAACATACATACAACATACACACAACATGCACGCAACATACAAGCAACATACATACAACATACACGTAACATACATGCAACATACACACAACATACACACAACATAATACAACATACACGCAACATACATGCAACATACACACAACATACACACAACATACACGCAACATACACGCAACATACACACAACATACACACAACATACACACAACATACATACAACATACACGCAACATACACGCAACATACATGCAACATACATACATACACGCCCGCTGCTGCGTATTCTATGACTACACCCGCCGCGGTCCAAACGCGCGTTCCGTGGCCTCGCTAAGAAACGAGGCAACTGCTGGGGGCTCTCGCCTCGTTAAATAAGTACATTCTTCACAATGCGCTTGCTCCAATGGAGCATCAAGGCATCGACGCTCCTCTCCCGTTCACAGCGCTGCAGAGCCAGTGGTGGAAATTGGACATTCCTACGGAGCAGAGATGAGTCCATCCAATGGACAACCCCCCCCCGCGCCCCGGGAGGGATAATTGTAATGGGCCGAGTGGACCGGCAAGCGGGGATGTGAACTCGCAACGTTTCCCAATTGCGAGCCGCTCTCCGTGCCTCCAAGGCCCCCCCACTCCACTCCCCTCCCGGCCCCCTTGGCTCTCTACGAAGGGAGAGGCATGCGGCGGTTGCGGTGAGCAGAGCCCAGCATCTGCTGTAAACATCCTCTCCGTTTCAGGGTCGCAGAGCACGAGGAAAAACAACAACAACAAAACAACAACAACAAAACAACAACAACAAAACAACAACAAAACAATAACAATTCAACATCAACACTTTGTGTCAAAAATGTCTGGCCGTGCCTCGAGAAGGACACAACTTTCCACGTGAACCCCGCCGCTGGAAGACGGAGGGAAAAGTAATCCCAGATTGCGCTGGATTTTATTTTATTTCTCTCTCTCTCCGGACTTGACGTCGCAGAGGCCGCGTGTTGTTTTTACCACGAGTCGCCGCTCCTGACATTTGCACGCCCTTCCTGGAGTCGAGAGCGCAGCAGCAAGCGGCGATGTTTAAAAAAAAAAAGAACACCGCGTCTTAATTATTTTCCAAGAATTTTGCATGCCATTTTTAAACACGTGATTTTTTTTCCTCCTTACTGTAAGTAAAAGCTGATTAAGCTACCAGCTAACGGGTCAAAACATTTCCCAAGCATGTGGTTCAGTTCCATAATCATGCCTTATGGAAGAAAACATGTATGGTAAAAAATGATTATATAGTAAAGTATCAAATATAATTTCACTAAAATACTTGGGTTTAAAAATATATATATTTAGAATCGTAACATACTCCAGAGATTTCAAATGTAATGTATCATATAAAAAAAAAATCCAAGAATGTTTCATTCTGCTATGGAATATTTGCCAAAAAAAGTTGCAAGAGGATCAACTTAAAAAGAAAAAATGTACAGCCCATTCTCAATCCGCTGCTGAATGGAAGCTCCACGCCACGGGGTCCGTCACGTGGGTTGTTTGACCATACTTCACCGCACTCGTCAGTGGGGGTTGGTAAAGGGCTGGATTAGAGGGGAACCTCATGACGGGTTGAGACGTCGCTTGCCACTGATGGTAGCCGTGACTGCGAATACAAACTCAGCTTGCCCCGGTTCATAGTGCAGTGTACCAATCACTGTGCCACCACTCTTACCATTACTTGAATGCTAAATAAAATACATCAGCACTGTCTGAAGTCAGAGGAGATGGCTATGAAGCTGATATTTTTATATTCTGCTTTAATCAACGAATTATGAGGAAAAGTTTTTGAATTTCATATTTAGCATAGAATAACATTCAAACTATGCCTCAGTAGCACAGATAATGGTTTGAGGCAGGAATGATGTATATTCCCATCTCAGTCAGAGAGCTGTAATTCAACTTAGCAACGAGTGAAGAAGCCGCTTGTCTTTGAATGCAGGCGCGTGTGGAGCATGCTTCATATCCCACGGTAGGATAAGGGTGAGAAACTTGCAAGTTTGGGAAATATGGCAGAAAAGCGTTGGAGATGTATGCATGCTGAACTTCTTTCGCACCCTGCGTAGCCAACCGTCCTAATCGGAGGTGCGGGGGGAAGGACAACAAACTAAACACAAAGAACGGTTCCAAAGCAATTCGTTTTCAATCGAGATTTAAAAGTGCACATCGCTCCAGTGGCAGCCTAACGTCCGAAGGAAGAGCCGCAGAAGTGCGTATGAAAGTGCGCGATGCGGTGACCGTCTTTGTTTGATGGCCAGCAGCCAAAAGCCGAAGGTGGCCAGAGTTTGCGCGATGATGGTTGAATGCTCCCCGACGAAATCATCGAGGCGTGAACCAGGAGGGGGGAAGGAGGTTGCGATGGACGGGGACACGTGGGCAGGGTGGAGGAGGCAGTGGGCACGTGGCTTCCGAAGCCGGGCATTGGAGTGGCAACCCGGGAGCCGGCGAGTGAGGTGGGGTGAGCGTGGTCACTGCGTGGGGACTCACCTGGGGGTCGGAGAACACCTGGCGCATGCTGTTGATTGGTCCGTAGGGCACGGGGCAGCCCTCAAACAGCGCCATCCACTGCGCGGTCGTCTTCTCGGCGAACCTGCACATGCCATCGAGTTGAATTGTTTAGCCAGGTGAGAACCAGGTGAGTGAGAACCAGGTGAGTAAGAACCAGGTGAATGAGAGCCAGGTGAGTGAGAACCAGGTGAGTAAGAACCAGGTGAGTGACCAGGTGAGTGAGAACCAGGCGAGTGAAAACCAGGCGAGTGAGAACCAGGTGAGAACCAGGGGAGTGAGAACCAGGTGAGAACCAGGGGAGAGAGAATCAGCTCAGAACCAGGAGAGCAAGAACCAAGTAAGAACCAGGCGAGTAAGAACCAGTTGAGAACCAGGAGAGCAAGAACCAGGTGAGAACCAGGTGAGAACTAGGTGAGAACCAGGTGAGTCAGAACCAGACGATTAGGAACCAGGTGAGAACCAGGTGAGTCGGAACCAAACGATTAGGAACCAGGTGAGAACCAGGCGAGTGAGAGCCAGGGGTAGAGAGCCGAGCGTGTCCGACGCGCTAGGAAGCACGCTGGGCAGCAGTTTTAGCGTTCGGCCTCGCCGCGCAATTTCAACCTCGGGCCACGTTTTGTCGCCAGCGGCTACGCCGCGGTTCGTCGTCGTTTTAACGGAGCCGACGACGTTGGTCGCCGTCCGTCATTTTACACCGAGTCGCCACGAGCCCGCGCGGCAGGCCCCCTTGGCGGCACCGACAGAGTGTTGGCCGTGAACCGGCAAAACCCCACGAACGCATCGCACAACGTGGCTGGAGAAACGGAACCATCGACTCCGCCGTGCTCACCATCCACTCGCGCCGCCACCGCCTGCCCCCCGCCCCCTGCGAGACTCGAACGCCCCCACCGACGACACTGAAGCGACCACGAACGCCGCGACGCTGGATTGTTGACTGCGACACCCCCGCCCCCCCCCCCCCGCCGCCCCACCACCTCAACGCAACCCCCACCGCTCTGCGATGGTGGCGCCTGCCGCCAGCACGCACCTGTCAGCCAGCGTGGCGACGAGCTCCTTCCTGTGCCGCACGCGCAGCTCGTTGGTGGCGAACCTCGCGTCCCGCGCCACCTCGGGCAGCGACATCACCTTGGGCGTTGGGGAGAATTAGCCGAACGCTCGTGGCGGCAGGTGACCTCGCTCGCTCGCTCGGGACGGGTGCTGTGAACACTGTTGGGAAGTTCTCCGCACCTGTGAGTCGCGAACTGGGGTGGGCGTTGAAATCGGGTTGCTTCGTACCGCGAACGGTCCACGTGGAATAAAGTGGGAATCGTAATTGAGACTGCAGGAATCCGATGAGCTATGAAGCTCTTTTTTCAGAGATGCCCAGCGGGACATACGGAACTGTAAATCATCCATAAACGTTAGAACGTTACAACACAAGCAATCATCATCAGGTGTGAAATCCACAGCAATACATTTATCTTGCAATTTTCTGTTGCTGGGAAACGTCGTGAGAAATTTTATTGTTTTATATTTGTATTATTTTATTATTTCCCTTCTACGTGACTTTACCGAAAGAACCAAGAATATGAATCCCTGCAGTCACGAAAGCTTTAAATCAAAATTAAAAATAAATGTTTATTTGTTTGTGTATCTCCCCTGTGATGGGACTTTTCAGGATGAACGTTGAGATGTATAAGGGCTGAATTGGTCTGTAATAAGGTCGGCACTGATAAGGGGTCGACTGATATGACTTTGGCATCTATTTACTTACGGACAGGTAATTGAACCTCTGTTTATCGGCTGTCGGAAGGAATTAAAATGTGATATCAATAACACGAGCTTCAAATACAGGCTTTAAATATATATAATGGAAGCCAAAAATGCCAACGTTGTTTCTTTTGTGGGCGGAAGGAGAGTACCCGGAGCGATTCCAACTACCCCTTATGAACGCGCAACATTCAGCATCGGTCACACATCCAAGCAGAAACCGCACACAAATCGGGCTTAACTCCTCGGCTTTGCTTCTGAGATCTGACAATATTTGCGAGTATTCAGGGCGACTTTGTTACAGGCGCTGTATTAAATCAAATATTTATTTATACTGGAGGAGCTCTTTTACACAGACGTCCAGTTGGGGCGGGTCAGAACGTTACAACCACCAACAATACAAAAACACGATGGGAATATAAAGTAGAGGATAGGTAAAAAAAATAACTTTAAAAGTTTTTAAGAAACTATTTTTTTATCTTACCAGTTAAAGCACACTGAGCTATTTCTTTTTTAAAAGGTCACCTGGACCACAAATGATAGCTCAACAAAACCGGCTTACCGTGTGGAAATGTATAGGGTGGATGTGACTCAGGCAAGGGCTTTGTATTGTGTTTGTTGGGGGGCATGAGGAGCAGGAGGAGGAAAGGAACCTCGACCCGCGTGTCTCACCTCGCACGTGGCAACAAAGTGGTCGTTGTTGGTGGCGCCGATCACCAGGTAGCCGTCTTGTGTTTTGAAAGCCTGCGGAGATCCATCGCAGCACGGCGGGCAAACGGAAATCCCCGCGACGTTGTTGTTGTTGTTTTTTTTCTACCACGGTGCAGTTCACGAAGCTCGGGAACATTTCGTAGTTTATTTCCCTTCCATTTACTTTTGATATTTGAAATGCAAAAACAAATTGCCGTTCTTACATTTCCCAAATCCCATTGGCATGCGGCGAGTCCGGCTGAAACACGAGAGCACCGTGTCAAGTGGATTTACGGGGTCGAAACTGCAGCTACGCGCTCGAGATGAAGACCCACCACACACACGAGGGTGGGGGTCACACGCTGAGCTCCGCACAGATAGATTCAAGAAATCCATCGCCATTATGCCGTCTCCTGGCCGCCTCGCAGCCCACGCCTGCAGTAGCTGATGCTCTCAGGCAGCCTCTCATCCAAGCACCCTCACCAGGCTGCTCAACCGCCCTTAGCCTCCGAGATCTGACGAGATCAAGCGCACGCAGGCATGCCGAATCGGTCGTAGGACCCAATGGACGGTGAACCCAATTAAAACTAATTTGACCGAAACATGTTAAATAAAATAGTGCGCAGTGACGTAGCTATCGGAGTGTGCAGGCGGTGCAGTCGAAACCGGGATCCACGGTTACGACGAGAGGGGATCAGACGTTGGAGAGGTGGGGGGGGGGGTGCCCGTTTCATCGCTTGCCACCAGCGTCCACGCGACACCGCTCGCACACTCACAGCAACCTTGACCACGGACGGTCAGGGCAGATGGGCATCTCTGTCCCCGTCGAGGCTCCGGAAAGGCTGAGCAGCTTGAAATGATCGTGGTGCGTGTGAGCCCATGGCTAAGGGGACCCTGAGCCGGCACCGCTGAGATTCTGGGTTCAAATACGGGTTTCAGGAACCGTGATTACACCATGTTGTTACCCGCTTGTAGAGAGTCCATGGCCTCAGCCTGGTCCCGATGACCACACATCCTTTGTGCAGAGCCCCCCGGCGCCAACAATGCTACGCCGCTGGTAGTGCGTATCGCAAAGGGTTTCCGCTTCCGCAAAGCAGCGCATGTGCGTGCGTCACCTGGTAGGGCACGATGCTCTTGTGCGCAGTGCCCCAGCGAGTGGCCTCCGCTCCGGCCGTGAGAAAATTGGCGGCGACGTGGGAGAGGCAGGCGACCTGCGCGCCCCGCACGGCGGCGAGAGGAGGGGGGACGCGAGCGAGATGAGTTGGTGGCTCTCTTGCCACCCCCCTCCCCCCCGTGCCACGCAACTCGGACGATGGTCGTTAGCGACGGCGTTTGGGGCCCACGGGCTACGCGGGGAGGACAAGCGAGCAAGTGAGCCGCTCAGTTGTCGCAGAGCGGTCGCTTGAGTGGACGGTGAACTCAGGTGGATGGGTGGCGCAGAGGTTGGAGACGGCACGGCTGAGATCCTGGGTTTCAAATCTGGGTTTCTGCTGCCTCGTATGTACGTATGTACAAGGAAGTAAATTCCTTGTCTGTGCGAACTTTCATGGTGAATAAAACCCTTTCTGATTCTGATATGTTGAACTTCTTTCGCACCGATCATAGCCGACCGTGCTAATCGGAGGTGGGGGGGGGGGGGGCGGGGGGAAGGACAACTAACAGAACACAAACAGTAAGTTATAAAGAAATTATTTTTTTATCTAGATTTAAAAGTGTATAGCTCCAGTAGCTTCCTAAAAAGTGTAACGAGCTGATGTGGTCTGCACCCAGTCACCAATGACGACACGACAAATATACATCAATTTGTATTTCTGACTTAATTGCCTTTTTGATGTATACACAGTATATATTATATTGACGAATGCATTGAGTGGTCTGCTATGTGTGCTCTGAGATTGAATGATGTTGTCTTCATCAACACGTGGATGAACACTCTTTGTATAGCGTACAAAGACCATGTCCCATCTGTGGGTAAAGAGGCCGACAAGAGTTATTTCAACAGAAGCGGTGTCACATCATCTCCCAGGCTATCCTCTCACACTTCCAGCTGCGAAAATTTCAAGCGGAAATAAAATCTCGCGGCGTGTTCGTCGAAAGCGCAATTTGATTCTAATTTGGGTAAAAACGTGTAATCAGCACGGCCTGTCTCGAAGAAGGCGACGGCATATCAGAAATTGGCGCAGGTGTGAGTGGGTAACCACGAGCTGTTTGTGCCTTTCCTCTTGTGATTCACGGAAGCCACTTTCTTGTGTTCAGCGAGAGACGGAGTACGCCAATGTTCCCAACTCGGAACGCTTCAAGAGGGACAATTTCGGTGTTTGGTAGCACAAACATAAAAACAACCTCAGCTGGCAGATCGGTTACGCTGCACTGCAACCGAAATTCATGGGAACCCGAAACGCATTTTGGCATTTCACGTTATTGCTTTTGTTCTACCCGCGCTGTACAACCGCGAAGGGGTTCATCTGTCTGAGCAAATCCATATCCTGTGCCTGCGTTGGCCTTAATTACCCTGCGAGTATGGCGCACATATGTTGGGATCGTTGTGAGTTTCGAGTAGTTTAATTGCTTTTGAACTACTGTTAATTTCATATATGTAAATAATTAGAACGTAACAGATATTTGGCAACGCGCGCCGTTCGATACTGCCTCCAGAGGTCTGCGGCGCGCCAGGAGAGGCGTGGGCTGCATGGCGTAAAGCGGGCTGGCTTACGCAATCAACACAAGCTTCCTCGGGTATCCAGTAAACAATGACCAGTTTCCGCAGGCTTAATTTCTCGCTCAATATTGTCTGGATCTATGTGTTCACCGTGAGAGGTAGATGGCACGTGACTCATAGCGAGAGCCACAATGAGAGATACTGGATGTGGTGTGTCAGGTCCCACAAATGTGTTCCCGAGTCCAACTGAAATCAAGCTCCGGAAATATCCAAATGCTAACCGAGACCGCTCCGTGCGGTGAAATTCACGCCAGGATGGCGAATGGAAAGTTGTGAGTTTGCCGACATTATTATGAAGAGGCCACCGATGCAGCCCATCAAGGGAACATGCCCATCGCAATTACGACGAGAGATGGCGACGGCTTTCATCCATTAGTGGATTGTTCATTGCTGATGAAGACAATAACAGAACATGATTATTATAATAATGATCATGTCCTATTACTTGCTGTAGCGCCTCCTACAGCCATCATCTCGTTGCTCTGCAGTTGGGCTCTGCTAATGCGTGACAATTTAATCTCTACGTGTGTCTATTCTAAACTATTTTCATTTTACCAGGTAAGGCCCCACTGAGCTATACAGCTCTTTCTCAGGAGCGACCTGGCCACAAATGACGGCTCAATGAAGTGGGCTTATCATCACGTGGAAATGTACATCAGCCAAATACTCTAAATGCGTGATGTTGATTCTAAATTTGGAGGAAAAAACCAGAGGACCCGTACAAAACTCCACATGACCACGGGGAGAACACACAAACTCCAAATATTCTGGCACGGGAAATCGCGTCGGACGAGGCTCGCAATCTCTTAACCCCCCCTGGGGGGTGGTCACCTGGGACGAGAGGAGGTTACAGTCCAGGTGCTGGCCCCTCCCAGTGCGGGCCCTCTGCAGCAAGGCGGCCATGATGGATCCGTGAGCGAACAGCCCCGTCGCCAGGTCGGTCATCGCCACGCCGGGACGCACGGGGTCGCCGCCCTGGGCACACGCGGCGGCAACGGCAGTATCAGTCGTCTGACCGTCAAGTGTAGCTGGCTCGCCCTGTCCCTCTCCTGCACGTATGCATGTTGGACTTCTATCGCACCGTACGGCAGCCAACCGTGATAATCGGAGGTGCGGGGGACGGACAACGAACTGAATACAAGAAAAAAAGCAGCTCTCCTGTGTCCTGATAATTGTGCGACTCCACAAACAGATGGGCACCAAAGGTTTGTGAAACGTCAACACTTTATTTCAAGGTATTCTTCCGAGGAGCGTTTGCGTACATGCAATCATGGCCAGACCCACACCCTCATCACCCTCCACGTTACGCAACACCTCAGCTCAGTCCCTCAACACGGAGTCCAACTCGAAATCTCTGACCCCTACGGTTGCCACCCTTCTCACAGTCCACACCTGGACACATTTCCCAGTAAACCTGTGTCTGTGATCAAAACCGTTGAAGTAAACTGGTGTGACATTCAACTCTATACTGGCTCCAGACCTCGGAACGAAATCAATTCCTGCTGCCACGCGAACGTCGGTGCCAATTCCTCCCAACTGTCCGGGTCAGACCTGGACAGATGGCAACCCGAGTGAGCGCCCTGCATGTGTGCGCACGTGCCCCCACCACCCTGTCATTTTGACGCGAGAACGAGTCCTCAAGCACCACCACGAACCCCGCAGCATGACCTTGTACAAATGAAACCGCAGCCCTCCCCCCGAATCCAAGGGCGCTAATCAGAAAGGAAATTAGTGGCCCGGCCGCATGTTTGATCGAAGCACGTTTCCCGCTATTTACATTTCCTGGAAGTTATCAAAGGGGGTTTGGGAGCATTGATTTGTTTTGCAAGGGCTCATATTCTTATTGCACCGTGGCTGAAGAGGGAAACGATGAGTACTCTCCATTCGGGGTAATCAAAGGCTGCTCTATCGAAGCCCCCCCAGTCAACCTCAGCTGAGTGGGAGGTCGCTTCCCACCGCCGGTGTCTCGCTGGTCTCGGACTGCCCCCCACCCACCCCCAGCGGTCTTGTGCTGTGAACTGCGAGGGTCTCCCGAGTGGATACTTTTTTTGTTCTCATTTGGGAGTATAAAACGCCGATTGCACAAAATCGAATTTAATTGGATGGAAAAGTTGATTGGATGAAAAAGGTTAACCAAAAAGTATGTATTGCAGGCACAGTGCTAAAAAAAATATAGGTATATGTCTCATAAATCACTGAACACGTGCCAGGCTTACGATTCTGAGGCTCAATATTTCTGGTTTTCAAAATAATACAGCAATGTACACACAAAGTAGGGGAGTAGTGGAACAGCGATTAGCACACACCACACTCTGAATCAGACGACCGGAGTTCGATTCTTGGGCCACGGCTAGCGATATCTGAACTGGTCCTAGCCCAGCCAGCACCAAGTACGTACGGTCATACAACCTCCATGACTAACACACCCTGGGACAGGGCCTCAAGCCAGCAGTGGATCGCCAAAGGGTTGCGTTTATTTAAATGTTAAATTTGACTTGCCTTATAATCATATATTTTTTTACTAAATTGCTTCCTCTGAATGAGCTGCTATTTCAGAAATATTTAGCTTTTTAAATCAAATGTTCTTACACTGTCCCGGCCTCGCTGTGCGCTGCGTTGCACCAATATCTAAGTAGTTAACCTCACATGCAATAAACTTTCAGAGCCAGGGTGAACATCCGACAACAACCTATTTAATGAATAGAATGAGGTCATACTGATGGAAAAACACAGCACAAAATATAGCATCTGTTAATACTTACAATATCAATACAATTAATGAACACTGCAGTATCATAACATTGTCTTAGATAACATGAATCTCAATAATAGGTCCTGGATGAACCAGGCACCTACATTAGCACTGAATAGCTATACAACAAGATAATAAGCTACTGAGTTGAATAAAGGTCACTTTGTGTAATCACCATACTGCAGCCAAAATGTACAGCACTGCACTTAACACTGAACTCTGGATGAGACACTTCGTCCTCCTTGCTCTCAAGAACACATTAAAGTTAAATGGGCACAAGTCTGGCTTGACTTATCCAACTACAAATAACATTCACAATAATGCAGTGGCAGGCTTCGTTGTTAACTAGGCCTCATATTTATCATAACAATTTAACAGCATTATAAAGGCATTTACAGCATTATAGCGGCAATCCTAACATTATAACAGCATTCCCAGTATTAACATAAACGAACTTAAAGACAATGCTTCTTAAAGTCCCACAATGAACAGATGAACCGATCTTCGCTGATACGCTAATTGTGCCTCCATTTTGTACTCTTTGTAATGGCCGACACCCCCTGCCTTGCCTCGTGGCTTCGAGACCCTTAACTCGTAACTTCCTGGTCACGTGACCAAACTCAACACCATCATATCAGGAAGTTCCTGTGTAAACACACTCCCATATCTGCCGTGGGGCAGAACATACACCACTTTGCCAAAAAGGGAGCTGTAAAACATTCTCACCAAAAAATGGTTGGGGGGGGGGGGTCTTAAATGATGTTTTTTTGTTAATAAATCCACAACATTTATTTAAGAATCGCAGTACAAAACAAATAACATGCAGCCTCAACCTTTCTCCACTGCGAAGGAAACATTGCCGTGTTTATTGTTCTATTCACGTGACTTAAGAATTCTATTTTTTTTTCACGGGCCATTGATAGCATTTGGTCTCCAAATGACAATCGGGGACATTCAGAACTATACCATTTCTGGATATTCTGCACGGACGCAGTCAAAATTGTAAAATAACACACGGTGTTTTTCCGAAAGAAAACGCATACTGATGCTTATCTGAATGTAGAGTCACACCATCACCCCACACAGAAATCTGCTCTTATCAAGACGCTCATTCATCGAGCTAAGAAAGTGTCAGATGATGACAGTCTGATTTGTAAAATTCAACATGTTAAAGAAGCGCTGCAAATGAACGGTTACAATGATGCACAAATCAACAGGGCATTGAATGCCAAAACCAAATCAAATAACACGAGCAATAAAACTTCCCAAGTAATAAAAACTATCAAAATACCGTACATTGCGGGAGTAACTGAAAAACTAGCCAGATGTTTGGAAGAACCAAACATCCGAGTCAGATTTGGCACAGTACATGAAATACAGAAATTAATATCTGGTACAAAAGATGTATTACCGAAGCTATCAACAGAAGGTGTGTACAGGATTAACTGCACGTGTGGTAAATGTTATGTTGGGCAAACAGGACGAATGATCAGCACGAGACTAAAAGAACATCAGAAAAAAATAAAATTCTCCCAAATATAACTGTCAGCAGTAGCAGAACACACTTGCCAACAAGGACACTCAATTGATTTTGGTAATGTTGAAGTTCTGTGCAAAACTAGCTACTACTGGCCAAGACTAATTAAATAATCTATCGAAATTGAAAGAAATACAAATAATTTTAACTGTTCGAATAGCTACCGCCTTAGTGCTGCATGGAAGCGAATCATCAAATAATACAGTATTTCAATGCATGCCTATAAACGGCAGCATACTTCAATAGGGATTACCATTGGTAAGGCTATTTTAATACACACAATAGACAGGAAGGACAAGATCAAAGGGCTCGCATAATGCACATGCATAATGTGCGTTGAATCAGTAATCCCTCCCCCCCCCCACTTTGCGCAAGAGCGCAGAAGCGTGGTCACCACATCTACGCCTCGATATCAGGAACGAAACAGTTAGACTTCTCCACAAATCTGTCTGTCGCCTGATGAAGCTAGTTGTAATTACTGGTGAAACGTTGTACTGAGATTGTAAATGTTGTGGCTTGGCTCTCCAACACACCGGTGTGCTATACTAATGACGAATTGTCATGTTCTGTTTACGTGACAACCCTTACTAGTTGGCTGTGTCGGGTAGTGGCGGGTTTTGATGACACAATTATATATTTATGCGATCTAACCCCAAAAACCTCTATTATAGACATGATACAGACATATCCTAAGGGCATGTGATGGCTTTGTGATGGACTACGATGGCTGGTTATTTGTGATGACGACTTGGTGATGACTTTTTAAGAGAGCCGGTGATGGTAGATGATGACTGGTGATGGCTGATAATGGCTGGTGATACCTTGCGATTTCTGATTGAGGCACCTTCATTATTCGTGATAGCTGCTGATGGCTGACGGTGGCTGGTGATTGTGATTTCTGATGGAAGCTGGTTATTATTAGTGATGGCTGGTGATGGTTGGTAACCTTACCTCAGGCCCCGATATGTGTAGGAATCCAGACACGGCTGCTGCCACGGTATCGATGCCACCTCGCTGCACGTACGGTCCCGTTTGCCCGTATCCTGATGGGTCAAAGCAAAACGCTTACCAGATGACACAACCCAACAAATATTTATTTTCATTTGTGATCAGGGGGTCGAACCAAAGTTGTTATAGTGATGTCCCTTGAATACCGAGGAAAGCCTCAATGAGTCTCAATATGGTTTTCAGGACACTCTTGCACTTTGGATATTTAGTCAATTCCAGTTATAAGTGTTTCGCCATTATATGGGAGGAAACCAGAGCATCCGGAGAAATCGTAAGAGTCAAAAGTTCAGCCCAGATAGATTAAAGCATTGAAGAACTCATTGCCGTCTTGTCATCTCCTACAGCGGCCTCTTGCAGTAACATATATCACTGAGGGGTACATTAATAGCCCCGCCAAATGTGTTTGAAAGCTCCACTCGGCAGTTAGTCAGAGCTTCCCTACTCCTGTCCTCGCCAGTAGCACCACGATGGCGAGATGTTAACTCCCTCGCATGGTATGCAGCAGGTCGTGGATTTGATCCCGACCCCGATGCCTTCTGTATATTTGGAGTTTGCATGTTCTCCCCGTGTTCGCGTGGATGTTTCTCCAGGGTTCCTCCAGTTTTTTCCTCCACATTTAGAATCAACGGGCGTTTTAGAGTATTTGGCTGCTAAAAACACAAGCCACTTCGTTCAGCTATCATTTGTGGCCAGGCTGCTTCTGAAAAAGAACTATTTAGCTCAGTAGGCCTTTCCTGGCGGGATCAAAAATAATAATTTATAGCTGCTCAACAGTGGTGTATGTCCACCTGGACATCTGTGAAAGAGAGCTTCATAGCTCATCGAGATTCCTCCAGTCCGAATGAACATTCCTATTCTGACTTTGTTCCACGTGCATCGTTTGGTGAGACCTGTTATGGAACAGTAGATCAGACGAGGCGCGTCCTCCCGCAGCTGCTCGTATCCCAGCCCCAGCTTGGAGAGTTTCCCGGGAACGTAGTTCTCCACCAGCACGTCGCTCACCCGCGCCAACTGGGGATGGGTTTTTCAAATGTCGTGCGGTAATAACAAGAAATAACCGTCCGTCTATTTATCCAGGAAAGCCTCACCGAGACACACAGGACTCAGTATTTGTTTACAGGAAGCCCCTGCGTACTTCCAGTTCAAACACTGAGAATGTATTTGACTTTTAATTAAAATAATGGGGGGGGGGGGGGGGGGGGGGGCGAGAGTGGTGGGTGCAGCGGTTTGCACACTGCGGCTTGAGTTCCGCAACAAGAGTTTGGTTCCCGGCCGTGGCTATCTGCGGTGAGCGGAGAGAATGGGGGGGGGGGGTCATTTAATTCCTTGCACTAGGGCCCGTGCCAACCCCGCTCCACCGCTGCGTGTAGGCCCCCAGTGTGGCGCCACTGCAATCTCGCTTGTTGTCCTGCCCCCGCACCTCCAAGTAGCACCGTTGGCTTTGGACGGTGCCAAAGAAGTTCTACGTACGTACACACATACATCTCTCACCTCCTTGACCACCGTCACTCCCTTGGGATGCTTCAGGTTGATGGCCACGCTCTGCGCGAGAGGAAACGGGTGGATAAAACGCGGCGACGCTCTTGTGTGTTGCCGCTGCGGTGGCCCAGCGGTGATAGTCGTGCCTCGCAGCAAAAAAACACCCCCTGGGTTTGATTCCCGACTTGGGCGTCTTTCTGCGCGGTATTTACAAGTTCTCCTCATGCCCTGCATGGATTTCCTCTAAATTCTCAGAATGTTTCGATTTGCAGGGATTCAGCTTCTTGGTTCTTTCGGTAAAGTCACGTAGAATGGAAATAATAAAATAACATTAGAAAATAATTCTCACGACGTTTCGGCCACAACGCAAGCAGCCGTCCTCAGGTGGAGAACAGGAGAACAGGTCTGTCTTCTCGACAGACCTGTTCTCCACCTGAGGATGGCTGCTTGCGTTGTGTCCGAAACGTCGTGAGAATTATTTTATTATGTTTTATTTTTATTATTTTATTATTTCCATTCTACGTGACTTTACCGAAAGAACCAAGAAGATGATTCTCAGAATGTATTTGTTATTGTTTATTTCTTTATGTAGGAAATATTCAGACGTCAGATGTTTTTACAAGAATGGCCCACAGAGTAATAGCATAAAATCATAACATTTGTGGAAAACAACATTGAAGTCGTGCGCCATTCAAGTGACACTGGCAGGTCATGTGAATCAAGACTGAAACACCAACTCACACCAAGTCCGCTAACCACATGTGCAGGGATGGAGTACGTATCAGAAATATAACACCAAATCGCGCGGGGTCCACTAAGCACATGTGCAATAGAAGGGAGATGTTAAGTCAAGAGAGTAATTAAAAAAGAAAGGTCAGAGAAGGGAGAGGGATTTAAGCCAAAACCACGAAGCGAGCTCGTTCCAAAAGTGAGGGGAGGACACGTGAGATGACCTCTCACCGTGGCCGGACCTCACTCGGGGTGTATTCAGGGGAAGTAGAGAGGAGCTGCTAAGGCCACGTGACGAGGACTGCAGTGTAAGGTGGTCACCGAGGTGATCAGCTGATTTGGAGGATTTTGAGGATGAATGATGTGCAATGACGCTGTCTCTGAGTATCAAGGAGAGTGAGGTTTGCGTTGAGTACAGATCACAGCGGTGCGGTCTGTACGGGGTGCCGAGTGCCCAAACGAAGAGGGGCTGAATGGAAGAGAGGGGGACCAAGCGTTGGAGGACAGCCTGTGAGGCCCGTTTGTAGACTCACACGTTTAGATTATTGAGGTTGTTTTTCTGCTAAAAATTCCCACGTGATAAGCCACTTCGTTGAGTTATCATTTGTGGGCAGGGTGCTTCTGAAAAAGAAGCTAACAGCCCTGGGATTTACCTGTTAATATAAAAACTAGTGTTTTTGTTTATTCTGTATTTTTGTAAAGTTATTTGTTTACCTTTCCTATACTTTGCACGACTGTCGTGTTTTGTTTTGTTTATTATTGTAACGGTCTGACCTGCCCCTAGTGGACATCTGTGACAAGAGTTTTATTGCTCGTCGGATTCCTCCAGCATGAATAAATATTCTGATTCTGACAGACAACATCACAGCGAGTGTGGTAGCTTTGACGATGTTCAGACTGAGACGGAGGGGAATACAATGCTTCTTTCTTTCTGTAGAGGAAAGCAACTTTTATTTTCTTAGAAATGTTCTACATGAGCCTGGAAAGAGATTTTGGGATCTAGGATAACACTCAATTATATATATATAAAAAACATGTTTTATGTTATATAGCGTCGTTCATGCAAAACTACATCTCACAACACTGTAAAGGACAACCGCAATAAAATAAAATAAAAACAAACAATACTGCCCCTCGCAAGACACATGCACACCAAAACCACGGCGATAGTAAACAAAAAGGGTTCTTAAACGGAACGTAAATAGTGAAAGCGACTACATTTTGGTGAATACGAAGTGGGAGTACATTCCACACTCAAGACAGGCGAGGTTATTTTTGGTGAGGAGACGAGGTTTGGTCGCAGCATGGGCTTGAAGTGCCCCGCGTATCTCTTCTATACATATGTAATGAAAGTAGAGCCTACATGCGCTGTGAGTGGACTAGTGGCCACGGGAGGTAATGACAGGGGAGTCAGCCTACATGCGAATGCACTAGTGGCCACGGTAGGTAATAACAGGGGTATCAGTTGTGAGTGCGAAGAGACTGGTGGCTACGGGAATGATCGAGAAGTCAGTGTGGTCAGGTGACGGAAGAGGATGGCGGAGTCTGCCGGTGGAGCGAGTGTTCAGAGTCAGCGAGAATGATCGAGAAGGGGGGCGTGGCCTCGTGTCGGTATATTAGGGAGATGCGTGGGAGTCTCGGGGCTGTTGCAGCGGGGGTCTCCGCCTGATGTCAAGTGAACGTGTCGTCAATAAAGTGCCATCTCAAGAGAAGTGTGTCAAGTCGTCATCACACATATGCTAATCAAGCAACTGCAAGCTGCGCACACCTGATGGTTGGCGATCACAGAAAGCTGTACCACAGGGGATTGTGAGGACTGAAGTAGAGATGATCCCAAATGGCACGAACGATTCTTTCAGTTTACTGCAGCATTGGGTGACAGTTTTGAAAGTGAATCATCTTAAGCCCTCTGCCCCCCCCCCCCCCTCAAACTGCCCCCCCCCCCCCCCCCCCCCCCCCCCCACTCGTACCTTCTTGTTGCGATTGACGCTCAGGAAGTAGACGCTCTCCGTGTTGGCAAACGGGGGCCCCCACCTCCGCGTCTCGTCCCCCAGACCTGCGCCCCAATTTCCCACCGACCCCCAAAAGTTACGTGGGCCGATTGGCCGGATCAGATTGACAACGCGACGCAGTACAAACCGCAATCGGCGGTACAAACGAGACAGACTTCGCAGACGAGGCAACAAGACAGATAAGAATAAATGGCGCAGGCAGCACTTTTGAAACAAATGGTATCAATAGGAGACAGAGAGGACGCATGAGCCATTGAGTAGCAACACGCTTTTTAAATAAATGCAAAGCCAGGTACTGGTGGCTACGCTGCACGTGGCCTATAGTCCAACGAAGGTTGGTGGATCACACAGATTCATGAAGCCCCCTATCTGTGGCTGGGGAGGTCACAATGATCTGGCTTACCAGTTTACTGCAGCATTGGGTGACAGTTTTTAACGGCAGTACAGCAAGTGGATAGATTTCCATCTGTGCAGAGAGTGAGTGTTGCCACCGTTGCGCACGTGGGTCTTCCCCGTGTATGCCGGCCTCCTCCCACATGCATAAACAATCAATAATTGAGTTGGCCAAATATGCCAATATAGGACGGCAGACCTTGGGTAATTATTGGCGCCAACTCTGGCTACCTTGCTCCCACTGGTCTGTGATTTCACACGCCTCCTTGCTAAAACTGCGCGCCTCGTTTAAAATAATCCTACAACATTGAGATGCAATTTTCCTAGATTACGCTCTTTATCTTGAATCTAATCGTGACAATTTCATGACTATCTGTGGGCGGAGGGGGGGAGGTGTCAGCCTCTAAATCTTGACACGTCTAGTCGGCGATCTAGCCCCGTGTTCTCTGAGTTGTTTCTTACCTGGACGTTCCACCTTGATGACCTCTGCCCCGAGGTCGCCCAGGATCATGGTGGCAAAGGGGCCGGCCAGCACCCTGTGGGGAAGAGAAAGGTGAGGGGGGGGGGGGGGCGCAGGTGTGCGTGGAGGATCGGGGGAATGGGGTGGAGAAGAAATCAAGGAGGGAGAAAGAAGAAGACATTTGAGTCCAGTCCATAGTCAGCACGTTGTAATAACAACACTGATTTAAGTCTAATGCAAAAGTGGCTCATAAACTGGGTCAAGGATGGATCCCGGACATTTGCCGGTAACTGGTTGAGACATTCGCAAGGAATCCGGTTGAAAGTCTGTCAACAGCTACGCATCTACATAGTAACGTGAGATTTAACGTTTTTTCAAGATGCACCATTCCTACCTCTGATAGGGCAGTTGGAGGAATAGTTATAACAATAATAATTTACAGCCTGGATGAAGAACTACCCATGCCGTTTTGGTGGTGGAGGTAGTTTCACCATACAGTACTTCCCATGCTGATCTTGCAGCTTTGGTGAAGAGAGGGGGGGGGGGGGAGAGAACCCATATCCGGGTACGACCCCACTCATTATTGGCGTTTTAACCGTGGCCAGGCATTGAACGCAGGCAGCCAGAGGTCCGTAGGGCGGGTGTATGAGCCACAGCGCGACGGCTCCCCCTGGAGGAGCGGTGTGGAAGATGAATTCCGTTTTTAGTCCCAGGTGCCGGACGGAGAGGTTCCCACGGAAGCACCGACGCGCCTACTGAAGAGCTTTATAGCTCATCGGATTCTTCCTGACAGTGTAGATATTTAATTCTGATTCTGAACTGCGCAAGAGAGGTGAAGCACGTGGTTGTACAAGGGGACAATTCTTTGCACCCGCAATGGCGATCATTGGCCATTGTGGGGGCGAGTAACGGTAGGCCGGCAGGCATCCAGAACCCTTTAGAGCAGTGGTTCTCAACCGGGGGGGTACGCGAACCCCTGAGGGTAATGTGGCAATGTCCCAGGGGGGGGGGGGGGGTTTAAGTGAGGTGATTTATAAATGTGTGAAATTATATCACGTACGAGAGCCACTGGTGACTAATCGTGTATGGATGTGCCAACATTAAATAACTACGATAACATTTAAATCCATATGGTAACCTGGAACGATAATAAACTACCTTTCTATGCTCATCGATTCACGAAAAAAGTGGTTTCCAGGAGTTACCAACGAGCGCGAAACAAATTGGCGTCACACATGCAGAGCATCCTTTGGAATTGTTTGTATTCACTTGCAGTTACTAGCTAGTCGGGATCAAGGCCGTAGCCACGGAGTCAACATTGGGGGGGACCAAATCTTCCAGGGGGTCTAGGGGTCCCCCCCCCCAGAAAAAAATCTCCATTTGAAAACGAATTTCCTGCCATTTCCTGCCTAAAATATTAAAAAAAATTCACTAACATAGGATGGACTTTTTTTTTTTTTACAATGTCTAATAGTGTATTGTATTACATTGCTCTGGTTTTTTTACCTTATCTTGTTTCATTGTATGTATGTAATGGCAGAGATTACGGATTAATAAAGTACAACCATAACCACAATCATATAAACAGAAATCTATTTTATAGCAATATATTGGGGGGGGGGACATTTTGAGCATATTTGAATATTGGGGGGGGGGATGTGTCCCCCCCCCAATATATAATTAATTACGGCCTTGGTTAGGATACCTCGCAAAGTAGTCGATTGGTTCAAATGTTGATGTTCCCGATTCATATACAGTATTTATTTCTCAGAGCCATGTTGGGTCATGCAAGTGGGCACTCGGTTGAAACAAAACTCAACAAGGGGGGGGGGGTAGAGCAGCCCGAAAAAGTTTGAGAACCACTACTTTGCATGGGAGATTGGCAGTAAAAAAGCGCCCTTCTTTGAAGGTGTGCGCCTGGGTGGTGTACGTGTGTGCAGAGGCGGGGTGAACTTTGGATGCAAGTTGTGGCTTTATAAAAGGACAATAAAACCCCAACGACCGACCGGTGGTCACGGTTCCATTGTTCCGACGACCACCGTGCCACAGGTTGCTTCAACGGGTGACACAAATTACTGGGACAATGTAAGTAATCGATTATTTGAATTGATCACATTTTGTTCCGGAAAGCTTCGATGAGCTTCAATGCACTCATTCAAGAGCGTCATATATTGGGATGTTGTTTGGCCAGTTCCTTCTCTTTAAAGTGTTTTACACATAAGATAAAATTACCCAGAAAACACACACGTCATGGGAAAACCACGTGGCCTTCACAGACGAGTCGTCGCCAAACCAACTTGCTCTACTGCCGCCTCTTAACCAGCTTGGAACCTGGGGCTTTTTGGGATGTTCTGCATGATCCACAAACCATATACTCCAAATCTCTGGATCGCAGGCATGTGACGTCATGCTCTTGACTCGCGATATTTTTTTTTGCTTTAAACAAAAATGTTTCCGCAATTTTGTCCCAAAGTCTATGTATTTCAGGAGCCGTGAAACGAGGTCTCAATGCGTTTTCTAGGAGAGCAGTGCAATCTCCCCTATTGGTTACGAGCCTCTGGAACGGTATCGTAGAACTATTTGAGATCCCAGAATAGGTTTTTACCCTTTTTTCTGGCAACAAAACTGAAATCTTTTTATGAGGAATCATGTCTGCATTAACCACAATACTTGTGGTCAGAATGCAAACAAAAAACCCACTGATAATATATGCATTGTCCTTGAAACTAGCACTGTTTGAGATGAGGCTCAAAAGAAATCTCTGGTGTAGACCAATCAGTTTCAAAGACAATGCATATCTTATCAGAGTGTGTTTTTTGTTTGCACTCTGACCACAAGTATTGTGGTTAATGCAGACATGATTCCTCGTATAAAGGTTTCAGTTTTGTTGCCAGAAAAAAGGGGAAAAACCTATTCTTATATTTTGGTACTGGCAAAGGAGGTCCCATGATATTTGAGATCCCCTTTCAAGTGACCCTCTGATCCACAGTTGGCGGCACCACTTCGCAGCTGCTCTGCCACCGGGAGTAAGATACGAAACATTAACAGTCAAACCGATAGAAATATTTTAATTCTCAAAGATGGAATTTTAGCCGTAACTAAGTGCATAACCAAATTTGAATGTATATTCTTGGTTCTGTCGGTAAAGCCACGTAAAAGGAAAATAATATAATTTTAAAAATAAAACAATAAAATTATCACGACGTTTCCATTGCAACACAAGCAATCATCATCAGGTGTGCAACACAAGCAATCATCATAAGGTGTCACACCTGATGATGATTGCTTGTGTTGCAATCGAAACGTCGTGATAATTTAATTGTTTTATTTTTTATTATTTTATTATTTCCCTTCTACGTGACTTTACCGAAAGAACCAAGAATATGAATCCCTGCAGTCACGAAAGCTTTAACTCGAAATCAAATTTGAGTGGTTTTTGCTGTGTGCAGTCATGGGTGGCTGGGCTGAGACCACTCCCTACCCTTAAGGGACCTCGTTGGATTCTAACCCAGGCTCTTGGTGCTAGCTCAACGATCTGACCTCGGAGCCACTCAGCCACCTGATGATGACTATTCTGATGATGAACATATAGGTATGTTGAACTTCTTCCGCACCGTTCGTAGCCAACCGTGCTAATCGGAGGTGCGGGGGAAGGACAACAGACTGAACACAAAAATCTGTTCTAAAGAAATGCGTTTTCAATCTAGATGGTTTAAAAGTGCATAGCTCCAGCGCCTTCCTAACATCGGAAGGAAGAGCGTTCCAGACGGCCGCAGAAGCGCATCTTTGTTCGATGGCCAGCAAAAAGCCGCTACTACGAGGATGACCGTCTATCCTGAGCCAGGAGAGTCAGACTTGACGCTACATCTCGTCAGAATCAGAATAAACACACTGGAGGAATCCGATGAGCTATGAAGCTATTTTTTATCACATATGTCCAGTCTTCCTCAAGGAGACCTCACGGCTTTGCTCCCATACCTGCTGAGATCAAGGACTCGGATGCCATCCAGAGGTCTCCCTCCATCCTCTCCTGCAAGGGAACAACACAGGGCTCAGTGAGTGCTCCACTTCACCACGATATCGCAACCGGTGTGGCTCCCCACGTTCTCGCAGCTCTTTGATTTCTATTTTCTATTCGACACGAACGCGAGCAATGTTAAGGGAAGGCGGGGGGGGGGGCACAGAAATGCCGAGGGGAAAATCCCGAACAATGAGCTCATGGGTTAGGGAAGAGAGAGAGAGAAAGGAGGAGTGGGGGGGGGCTCACAGCCCCACTTACGTAGAGACTGCGAGCGGGAACGCGAGATTTGTTTTTTTGATACGGGGGAAGGGAAAAGCAAGGGCCGAGTAAAGGGAAGATATTCTCGCGGCTCGCATTTGTCCCTGGGCATTGTGTGCATGTCCATGGACGGCCTGTGTCAATCCACTGCTGGATGAGGACCTCTCTCCGCCTTGGGGGTGGGGGAGGGAGAGGCGATGCGGAGATTACTCGACGATCGATGTGTCGCCACTGCCCAGGATGCCTCCTCATCCTCCTTTCCTCCTCTTCTTCTCCTTCGCGTGTGAAGAGCGCACGGTGGCAATGAAGATCAGCGCGGAAAACACTCCCGAAAGAGGACAATCCGCACCCCCCCCGCAGCACCGTGGAGATGGAGCTATGAAATCGCGGTGTCAAACGAATGCATCGTCAGCGCAGCGAGCGCTTGCGACGGCTTTGGGAAGGCGTTCGAGGCAGCTGTGGAGAGATCAAAGCTGCTGACAATGACGTGCACCGCACACGGTGGGCAAACGTCGATGTACACACGTGTCATGATAACAGCAACCTTGCACGGCACGGCTGCGTTAGGATCTCTTACCAGAAAGCCTTCTCAGTTGTGTGACGGCCGGTCGGGAGGGTCGTGGAATGCGCGTGAGCTCCTTTAGAAATCCGTGGAAGATCATCGCGGGACGCGGAGCAAATGAGTGGACAGAGTGAAGGTTAGCGGCAATGATTCGCTTCCAATCCGCCCTCCAGCGTCGCCAATTAGGCACTGCAACGGCCCTTTAACTGGAATCGACTGCGGGCTCGGGGCATTGCAATTGCTTGCAAGTAAATTAATAAATATTCTCACGCAGCGGAAACACGTGGCTGGTTTGGACACCACGTCGCTCTCACGCACGCACGCCCCCCTGCGCCAACAGATACCAGAGTGAAGTGAGTGGGGGGGGTGTTAGCTCATGGTCTAAAAATAAATATGTATGGACATTGTATGTTGAACTTCGTGCGCACCGTACGTAGCCACACGTGCTAATCGGAGGTGCGGGGGAAGGACAAGAAACTAAACACGTTGTGGCAAGCGCATTATTTTAAATGGGGGTGGGCGGGTGTGACATACAAATTGAAAATTTGAAGTGCATCAAAGAGATATTCTAGATTTGAAGCTTTCGTGACTGCAAGGATTCATACGCTTAGGTTTTTTCGGTAAAATCACGTAGGTAAAAAAATAATAAAAATAAAATAATAATAAATTAAAATAAATCAATTAAATCACGTTTCGGAGGCAACACAAGCTTCCTTTATCAGGTGTAAAAAGGCTAGTGATTTTGCTGTGCCTTTCTACACCTGATAAAGGAAGCTTGTGTTGCCTCCGAAACGTCGTGATTTCATTGATTTATTTTCATGTACTATTATTTTATTTTTATTATTTTTTACCTACGTGACTTTACCGAAAACAATCTAAGAGTCAAAGAGATATCTTCTTGGTTCTTTCGGTAAAGTCAAGTAGAAGGGAAGTAATAAAATAATAAAAATAAAACATAATAAAATAATTCTCACGACGTTTCGGCCACAACGCAAGCAGCCGTCCTCAGGTGAAAACCAGGTCTGTCGAGGCGACATCGTCTGAATGAATAGCACACGTGCTTGGAGCATATACTGTATATAAGCTGGGTTGGAAGGGGGGAAAAGGGCGCCTTGACAAAAGAATATGCATATCAAGAGGCATTTAGCATATTTATGGGAAATGCAGGTATGTGATTAGTACTACTCATGCCTGTGCATTATGCAGGATTAGCAGCATCAAAGGGAAGGGATATGGGAAATGCAGGTATGTGATTAGTACTACCTAAGCATATATATGCTGGGTTATATATGCTCCAAGCACGTGTGCTGTTTCATTCAGACGCTGTCGCCTCGACAGACCTGGTTTTCACCTGAGGACGGCTGCTTGCGTTGTGGCCGAAACGTCGTGAGAATTGTTTTGTTTTATTTTTATTGTTTTATTACTTCCCTTCTACGTGACTTTACCGAAAGAACCAAGAAGATGAATCCCTGCAGTCACGAAAGCTCTGTATGATTCACCATTACCTTAAGCACTGGATCGCAGGCGTATCTTCGTTGGCTGGGCTGATTTTGACGATGTTCTTGAGTTAACATCTACTGAGTCTACTGGGGGGGGGGAGTCGGCGAATTGGAGTGTCCTGTCCGTTGTAGGTTGTTGTTGTTTTAATATGGGGGGGGGGGGGGCAACTGCAGTTCAAACCACTGTAAGTTGGCTATTGCTTAAGCACTGATTGGGCTGATAGCCCTCTATTTTCCCTCTGCTGAAGTCTTGGCCGAGCCTGCATTTTGTTACAGGATTCGGCTGCGTAAATATTAGTCATGGTTTGCTTAACATTGACATAGACAGTAGGGGTTGGGGTAGCAAATGATTACAAGATGAAGTAATTTTAAAAAATACCGGGGGGGGGACTCAACATAACCAAAATGTGTACTTATTCAACCGAACGTGATACAGCAATCGATGTACAGCATTAAAAAACCGAAATGGTAACTTCATACGAATTCCATAATGTATTTCGCAATGCGAAACAATCCAAACTACATGGGAATGGTGCCAAGTTGGTATAACCGAGAATGGGTTCGAATCCTGGCAGATGCTTGTGATTGAACTGCGTTCTCAAGCGTCAATTGGTGGTCTTAACCACACCAAAAACTGACATTTTTAAAATCACATTCAATTCGGTTCTCCATTTAATTTGGCGATGTTCCAGCTCTGAGAATTACAAATACCGGATTAACTTTCTTGGAATGTACATTTTCCTCTCTGGCAGGAGAGATGGGAAAATGCTATCCCCTCTAAACCAGACTTCAAGGGTACTCAGAGGGAGTTCTTGTGATATCTGCATCTGTGGACCGCTATCGAACAGAACGGGTTGCACTGCTTTGTGGGAGATCTGAACGGATACGACAGCCTCATTACGTAACGCCGATGCTTCGATTGGTATAAAATTGTACCAAGCTCTTACAAAAAAACAATACAAATTCAAGATTGCAAGTCGTCAGCGACACAGCCAGTTCCACGTTCATCAAAACAACTTTTATTAAATGAAATAGAGATTACGTTTCAAAAAAATACATTCTGTACATAGTGGTTAAATGATTGGTGGCAAATTTTTAAATAAAAAACCCCAATGTACAAGTCGCGAGCGGGTGGGTGCAAGAGAAAGCGGTGCCAAGGCTTGGGTTGAGTTTCAAACGCAAGGGCAGACATTGACGGCGCAACTCTGAAGCGTGCAAGCTTCGCCTCGCAGAACGACGAGTCATTGATCTTGTGCAAATATTACAAGGCTGTGACTATCCCTGTAGTTCAGTGGCATGGGTTTTTATAAGGGGGGCAAATATGGTAATCAAGTCACAGTGTAGGGTGAGGTTCCGTGCGTGCTACAGCTTTACCTTTGTCTTTAGCAAAGAGCGAAGGAGAACATCAGTGATCAGAACATCCGTGATCAGATACAAATACACATGGAGGGCGACGTGCAGACTACCAGTTGTATCATTGCATTGGCTTTTGTCTGCTCGAGTTTTAGCAGAATCTCTTAACACTTTATAGTGTACATTTTGGTTTAGATTGTTATTTTATTATCCAAGCCTAGCGTGTCAACTTGCACAAGGCTTGACGTTGCGAAAAGCCCATAATGCATGGAATTGGCCCAACATCTCAAAACAGGAACCCTCCTGAAAGTGAGTCTTGAGACTCGGCGAGGCTTTCCTGCATTCGAGGCATTGTTGTAAGCGTATCATTAACTAAGCTGTCCTCTAACCGTGTGGATGGCAGTAGGAGTTTGTTCATTGCAAAAATCACCACTTTCCATTCTCTTGCCACTTACGCTACTCAAGTGCTCCGTAAAACACACCACTTATACATTTGTGGTTTGTTAAAGCAAAAAAAACAGCAGGAGAGCCCGGTGTTTATACCAGGTGAAGGTAGCGTAAAAACAGATTCGAATCGATATTTCTTTTAAAGCCATAACAAAAAAAATGCCACACATACAAATGAAAGTACATTTTTTTGTAACACTTAATTTAAATACGGTCATGTAATTTTTTTGTATGCCGCTTTTGGAACAGCCTGATCTAAATTGCACACATTTTAGAAAGGTTGTACATGCCAGGTGTACCCAATTTAGGAGAGCATACGCAAACAAGAAAAACAACAGGGCCACTTGTACATCGCGGTGCGAAAGAAGTTCAACATACATACGTACATACGTCACACCCCAGCATACAAACATTAACACTGCGGTGGGTACGGGAAGACAAGCGACAGAGATTGTATGTGGGCGTCCACCGGCACACGACGCATATCTCACACGGACCAAATCACACACGCCATGTGTGTTGTGAATAACCGATGTGTCTTTTGCACCCAATCTCCACGTGAATGGACAAAGGGAAGCACAGAGAGGCAATGCCATGAGCAAGTTGTGACGTCGATGATGAGAAACAGCTTTGGGCTGACTCAATTCTGCTCCCCGTGTTGACCACAATGACACAACCGATGTGGGGCAATACCTCTCATGTTACATGCAAAATGTGCACAACGATCAATGCTAGGCAAATAACGATTCACCACCCCCGCCTCCCAAGAAATACAACGAATTGTTACGATTTGGGGTCACAATAAAATTGTCTCAAATTTTTGCCACCTCATTTGTAGTTGTGTTCCCCCATGAGAACAAATGTTGAAAAAAAATGGCAATGAATTAGCACGTGCATGATTGAATGCATGTATCATGAGAATCAATGAATGGATGCATCCGTTATGCGTTTAGTAAGCGTGGAACGGAGAGTGTGGAATTTTACATCTGTGCCGATACAGGCAGATGGCGTTTGGCACAATCATTCTGAAACGTCTGGAAAGCGAACCCCAAGTGTAGAGTCGCATAGAGCGGTCACAAATGCATTGGAGTTCAAGCACCACGTAAAGTACATCATACCGCTGGGTAACGGCCATTGGTTTCCTCCAAGTTCTTGCTGCCACGTGTTCAATGTGTCCCCTAGTAGAGGAACAATTCCGCATCGTCGCAATTTGGGTTTTGCGGAAAGTTCAAGAATTTGACTTTTTTTTTTGACATGGTCGTGAACAGTAGTGCCTCTAGTAGGGATAATACAAATCGAAAAAATATTAGTTTCACTCGATATATGCCTTCTGTAACTTCAGCTTAATAATCAATAATTCAGAATCGAAGCATCGTTCCACTCCTAGTGGCAGCACAAGAAGAAAACATTTAGTGGAACTGAACCACATGTGCTGTAATGTTACACCACAGCATTCCAGTCCAACTTCACGGTTTATAGTACAGGGCAAATACAGATAGTGTTAGTGAAATACGCACGCGGACAGAAAAACACAATTTCCAAATGCAAATTAAACTGAACGACCCAAACTTATAGTAAAACTATCAAGGTAATGCTTAAGCCTGGATGCATTACTTGAGAATCAAATGCATTTAGAATGTTACATTATTTCGCAGCATTACCTTGAATGTGTTTACATTTTTGTTTTTACAAAAACAAAAATAACTTCAGCAATACAGAATAAAGGCAGCATTGTCCATGAATTCAGGACAGCAATGACCAACACGGGCAAAGCCAGTGTGTGTTGTGTGCGTCAAATGGAGTACATTTCACTCTGCGGTTCATCGCAATACATCTCAGAGTACACAATTCAGCATAAATCGGTAAGCAAAGCACGAGCGAGATAATGGAAACATTGCCACGACCCTCTGCCACGAAGGCATAAACACCACTCATTCAATAAAAAGACTACTTCAAAAA